TCCCATATGAAACTAGTTTGCTTCCCGGCAGTTTTAAAGTCCTCCCATCCACGGTTCAGGATCATCCAGAGCATCGAGCGGGGGCTGGGCAAGTCCGGCTTGCTCTCCTGAGATATCGGCAAGCTTCGGATTCTTGCTAAGGGCTATGTAACAGGCCACATAGGATTTCGTGGCTATTAGGATAGACACCGGGATTTCGGGTGATTGTGTTCGGGTTAGGTCAACTACTTTATAAGTTAGCTTCACCCCAGGCCTGACAACAAACCTTAAGATCCATTGCAAAGGCACCCGAGGTTCTGTCCAGTCCAGGTGAAGTTTGGCTACTCGATGACCAAACTTGCTGGGGTATTGCTGGGTGGCCTTCAGGTCCTTACCCCCACTAACCTTCCGCTTGCCATGTTTACACTTGACCTTCACAATCTGCTTGCCGGCAGCAGCTTGTTTTTCTTGAAGTTCTTTGCGTCGCTGCGCTGTCATCTTCAGCTGCAAGTGGTGCATCCACGGCCTTGGACACCATGCAATGTGTGTATCTAAACCCACATAGGTTCCGAAGCGGTAATGCATTCTAGAGGCGCTGTGCCGATTGCCACCTGTGGCTTGACGGACAAGCCACCATAGGAGCCCATCCACCTCAGAGCACACACAGCCAGCAGCAGCAGCAGCAGTAGCAGGAGTAGTTTATTAGTCCTAGCAGTAGCAGCAGCAGTAGCCGTCGAAATAGTACTAATACTAGCTTGGATAGTACCCGGACAGAAAAAAATCGTAAGCAGCAGCGACAGCAGAAGCACTGGGAGTATTAGTAGGGGTAGTAGCCGTGGTAGTAGTGGTAGTAGTACTACTGTGGTTGTCGTCGTATTATCAGCAGCAGAAGTAGCACTAAAAGTAGTAAAGATAGAATAAGTAGGAGTAGAAATACGAGTAGACATAGAAGCAGATGTTGGAGTGGCACTTGTTTGAGTTGCACTGCTAGCAATTTCTGACGCCACATGTATAGTAGTCATGAGTTAATCTACACTCCCACAGATGTGCCTTACCTGATCCTATAACCTACAGCCCGCAGACCCAAACACTCCAACCCGGAGACAAGAAACGATTAATGCCACAAGCTACACCCCAAATACCAGACGTGCGAAAATCGTGCGACAACCCTAGCCTATCTCTGAAACATCC